TTTATGTATGCCACAACAGCAGCAAGAATACTCGTTGCAAAGTATTGGAAGACACAAGATCTACCCACTCTGGAAGAATGGCAGATGAAGGTGATGGACTATATGGAACTGGCGGAAATGACTGGCAGAATCCGAGACCAGGGAGAACAGTCGGTGGAAGAAGATTAGAAGAAATTTAAAGACTATCTACAGAAATATTGTAAAATTAATGAATGTTAGAATGATGTTGGATAGAAATTAAGTGGTTTTCAGCTGTAATACTATAAGGGAATGTGAAAAATGGATTATTAATAGGTAAAAATTTAATGTTACAATATTTTAAGATTAAAGACTAGGATAAACAAAGAGGGTAAGGATTTGCTGAACCAACAAACCGAACTGGAATACAAAAAAGGGAGGCTTGAGGAGGTCCGGAAAACAAGCTAATGAAAAATAAGTAATGGAAAGATTGAGTTGTTTTTAAGCATTTTTTTTTTAAAATTTGTATTTTCTTTTTTAATTTTTATTCTTATTTTGTAATATTTTGAAAAACTCAATAAATATCTTATAAAAAAAAAGGTGGTTCCGTTAAATTGCGAACCACCTGAAAGAGTCTCCTGCTACTATTTTCTGCAGATGCAATAGAGGTGGCGAAGAAAGTCTTCTTCGCCGTCGCTATCGCCACTTGGTAGGCTCGACGTTGAGCTCTAACCTGTGTCCGGTCAGATTCGGAGTGAGTTTTCTGCCACCGACGCTCTAGCCGTCTCAGCGATTGTTTCATCGCCCTCAGCTCCGAAGAAAACCACGGGGCTGTCCGGGCTCCATGCAATCGGAGAGGGCGCTTCGGAGCCAGACAGTCGATCACCCTGGTTAACTCCGCATTCCAGCGGGCCACCAGGGAATCAGCTGAAAGGCCATCAACATGGGATAAAGCATCCCCTACCACTCTCTGGAAACCATTTGGATCCATTAAGTGGCGGGGGTGGACCATCCGAATTGGTCCCACCTCCCTGCAGAGGGGAAGGGACGTGGAGAAGTCCAGTTGCACCAGGAAGTGATCTGACTAGAATTACTAGAAGTTAATTACTAGAAGTTCTGGTTGTGGCACATCCTTTAAGTGTTTGACCATTTACACCATATGAGTAAATGGGGTCAGCTATAGAAACGGAAACCTTATTTTGCTAATGCAAGTACGTGACGTTTTCAGGAAGGATAAAGCATTAGGAGAGATTTGTGAGGGTTCCAGTTCCATTTTGGCCCACAGAGTTGAAGATGAGTTAATCATGTGCATCAACTGTTTTAATTGGAAAGCCTTGTAGTACAACTTATGATTTGGGTGGTGGATACAGCTTTTACCTCTAGAAATAATATTTTAATACAATAATAATGCATAAGAATACAGTATAAAAACAAAAAACACATACTGAAAATAAGAACGAAAAATAAATGAATAATCAATAATCCCCCATCCCATGAGTTGGGCCTGGAAATGAGTGCAGTTGGGCTTGGTGTAATATGACCGAAGAATCTTGCCCTGGCCACCGAGTTCTGCACTAACTGAAGTTTCTGAATTGTCTTCAGAGCTCTGAGTAGAACACCTTACAGTAATCTAACCTAGAGGTTCCCAGAGCATAGACAATAGTAGTTAGGCTGTGTCCAGAGAGGCGTAGAGCTAGGCCATCAGCTGAAGTCGATGGAAGGTCCTCTGTGCCACTGATGCCACCTTAGCCTCAAGCAACAGCAAAGCATTCAGACGTACCCCTAAGTAGAAGATATCTGCCTCTTGGGTCTTCCAGTGAGTCTTTAACACATTTTTTTAGTGTGTTTGCTTTGGGCTTGTTTATTTGTTTGTTAATTTAGATCCCATTACATCCCATTTACATACATTTATTAAAGTCCCAAATGAACCTGTTTATTTCCCACAGACTGGCACAGAGGCAAAATGGAGGAGGAGAAGGTAACAACTTATTTCCTAGATCAATGAAATAGAGTGCTCCGCAATGCAACAGTTTATTGCAGGTTGAGCTCCAGAAGACGCAGGATGGCTCCAGCAATGGCTGTGTTCCTCATCTAGGACCAGCAACTGGTAGGGTCCATAAACCCCAGAGTTCACTAGAGTTGGGCCCGCCATCTTGGCCAAGTCCTCAAGTCCCTTTTGCAACATTCTTGTTAACTAGTTTCTACATAGCTTTTGTTTGTTGTGGCTTATTGTCCTCAATGTGTGAGTTTACAGACCTTTCTGACTTTGCTAAAATAAACATTTTCCCTGCATAAACAGGACAGTGTGTTTTATTCTTGTTTGTTCAGAAAACTCTGGCTTAAGTATACAAAGTCTCACAGACAGGAGAGGGGCAAACGTGAGTGGGAGTACATATTTCTTTTCTGCAAAAGTCCATTTTCCTTGGTCCCATTGAAAAGGGGAGAAAGGGGGTCATAATAGCTCCCAGCACATCTTTTAAAATGTTTTGGGGAGAGTAAGCTTAACTTCCATGAGTCATCAGTTTTCTGTTTTGCCAGCATTGCTATTTTTATTAATAATTATTAATTGATTAATTCATTAAATTCATATATCACCACCCTTCATCCAAAGATCTCAGACCACTCACAGCATAAAAATACAAAATAAAAGTATGAAATACACAATAAAAACAAGAACAAAAGAAGCCTATAACCTCCCCTCCCACAAACATATTTTTACTGTGTTTGTTTTGGGCTTGTTTGTTTGTTTATTTATTTACATCCCACTTTCCCCACAGAATTGGGACTCTCTGAAGCTCACAATAAATAAAACAAACATGGGGAAAACCCCCCAGCAAACTTCATTCATTCATTCATTCATTCCCAGTTATCTGCAAAATCCCATACCTTCACTGTAAGCAGTGGTGTAGCATGGGCAAGGCCACAGGGTTGGTTGCTCTGGTTGCCATATTCTTAGGGGTGCATAAATTTGAAATAAAGTAAAGAAAACAGTAATAATAAATAATAAATAGTTGTCAGACTAATAATAAGAAACCCCCTTGGGGGGCACTCAAGTGTGTCACCAAGTGGGTGGGGCAGGAAGTGGGGAAAGAGAATTAAGCAAAACTCTGGAGTGAAATAGCAACAAAAGAGAAGAATGGAGCTGTAATATGTCATGGAGAGTGCTTAAAATGCACTCTAATAATAATAATAATAATAATAATAATAATAATAATAATAATATTTATACCCCACCCTCCCCAGCTCAGGGCAGCTAACACCAAATATATAATACATTAAAAACACAAAATCAAACAATTGGTTAAAATACAGTTCAAAATCACATTTAAATTCAGAATAAAATTAAGTGGGAACCCACGAATCACAGCCACAGGGGTAAGGAATATTAAATGTTCACCAGGCCCAGCCACGCATGCTGGTATCCTATGGGCCGATAGAAAGAGCCAAGGAGGCCACTTACATACAGAGTCCCATAGAAAAAATGCCTGGCAGAACAGCTCCATCTTGCAGGCCTTATGGAAAGATGTCAAGTCCCGCAGGGCCCTAGTTTCTTGCAACAGAACGTTCCACCAGGACGGGGCCAGGGCCAAAAAGGTTCTGGACCTGGTCGAGGTCAGTCTAACCTCCTTGAGGCCCGGGACCACCAAAGTATTATTGATTATTATACAATCAATTCCAATTGTAAATAATTCAGGCTGCTTCAAACACTGGAAGATGGATATTTCTAAATTCATCTGGCGGGGGGGGGGGGAGCCAAGAATGAAACATAAATTATGATAGATATAAAGGAAAGAGGAGGCATTTCCCTGCCAGACCTGCAAATGTAGTATGAGGCAGCCTGTTTGTGTTGGTTAAAAGAATGGATTACATGGGGGATTTCAATGGTGTCACCTCAGTAGAATTACACAGAACAGAAAGAGGGGGGAAATCAAAAGAAGGGAGTCTACCACAATGATTTTTTTCAGATGGCAGAGATTTTAAAATAAAATAAAGAGGAGTTGAAGGAGGAGTCATTTTGTGTCAGTGTCTTGTGTCAGTTGTTGCTTATTGAAACCCATTTCTTTTTCTGACCCTGCCCCCTCCCACTGTGATTCAGTGTCAGACTTCAGTGAATCGGCATCTTTCCCCCTTTGGCCGTACATAAGCAGATCAAAGGAAAAGGAGTCTTCTTACCACTTAGGAAGTTTAATGATCACAGCGAGAGAACAAAGAATCCATTTCCTAGGAATGGTGGCACTCCCAATTCAGGGTTCCACCCACTTCCTCCCTAGTCACCCATGTCACTACCGTGTCTTGTAACTACTGTGCTTTCTGTGTTGCCACCTTATCGGATCTTCTTGACCTTGGGCTGAGCGGATGAATGCTTTCCAGAGACAGTGAATCCGTTAACCCTCTCTCTCCCAGTGCTTCTTCTCTTAGCTGTTCCCCATCCAGTATTTCCCAGTTTCTGCCTTCTGAACTATGTCCCTCTGCAAACCACCGTTCCAAATCTATACTGCTCTGGGAAGATTCAGGATCCGGATCAGGTGGAGGCTCCCACTGTTCCTCCTCAGTGCATCCCTCCTCAGCACGGTCCCCGACACTCAGATAAGCATAGAGGGAATACATTGACTTATGGCTTGTGCACAGGGTAAGCTTCCTGATCTGAAAGCCATTTCATAACCTGTTTCCTACTCATTATCTCACACTGTTTTATGAAATAGAGGGTCCACTCCTCCAAAGCTTCCAATCTCCCCAGGTTTGTGTAATGTTCTGCCATGTTGCTGTCTGATACAGGTATGGATATGGGTGATTAAAGCAAATGATTTTTATTTCCACATGTATTAGAAACTCACACACTCCCGTACTCTTGAGCTTTCAGGGCTCAGACATGGGACAAATACATATGCAGGGAATCAACATGGTAATTAACAATTAGCAAAGACTCTTTTAAACATTTCTTCTTGATTCAATTTTAGAACTGGAATCTTCTAAAGAAATCAAAAATTTTCAGTGAAGGTGTAGGAGATGACATAAATTTTTTTATCTGGGCCTTGAAAATCCTATGGTACAATGATGCTTTCATCAAAGTGCACAGGCTTCCCATTCCGATTACAGGCAATGACGATGTATCTGGAGGATTTGTTATCAGAGTACTTGCAAGGTGGGCGAGTTGAGCCGCCTTTGAGCCTGCAGGTGGTGACAGTGAAGGGGCGGAGAGCGACCCTCAGCCTGTTTCCATAATCCTTCCCTCCAGATGCAGTGCACACAGCTATGATGTTATTCTTGGTGCCGTGGATGAAGGTGTTCACTTCCTTGCATGCTGGTTTGTCCAGCCCACGTCTTTTCATCATGACGTCACAATACTGCTTTCCAACGCTGCTCTTGGGATTATTGTGGTGCTGCCTTAGGAACTTCTCATAGGGGGTTTCACAATAGGCTCCCAGTGCCAGAACAGACACCAGAAAGGTGAGGAGCACAAGGCCAGATCCCTTGAAAGGCATCATCGTGGGCAACCACCGCCTGAAAGAGATACCTGGGGGGAAAGTAAAGTGGGTGTATAAACGCTTTCTTTCTGTTTGCCACCAGAGGGTGCTTTGTGAAACAGCTTGGAGTTCAAACGAATACTGTACAGTCGTACCTTGGATCCCAAACGCCCTGGAACTTGAAAGTTTTGACTCCTGAATGCCACAAACCCAGAAGTGACTGTTCCGGTTTGCAAACGTTCTTTGGAACCCGAACATCCAACGGGGCTTCTGTGGCTTCCGCTTGGCTACAGGACCTTCCTGCACCCAGTCAGAAGCCGTGCTTTGGTTTCTGAACATTTTGGAAGTCAAACGGACTTCCGGAATGGATTCCGTTTGACTCTCAATGTATGACTGTACAGTGGTACCTCGGGTTACAGATGCTTCAGGTTACAGACTCCACTAACCCAGAAATAGTACCTTGGGTAAAGAACTTTGCTTCAGGATGAGAACAGAAGTTGCAGAGTGGCGGCGCGGCGGCAGCGGCAGTGGGAGATCCCATTAGCTAAAGTGGTACCTCAGGTTAAGAACAGTTTGAGGTTAAGAATGGACCTCTGGAATGAATTATGTTCTTAACCCGAGGTACCGCTGTATATCCTTTCAAATTCTCATCTGCAAATGTTTTGGTGGATGTTGTCTAGTCATGATCACATGTCTGTGTGAATATTGACACTTGCCAGTCAGTACTTGATAAACAACAATGTGTTGAGTCAGCATTTCACAGTATGTGACCACTGTCATGCAACAACAGTCTACGGAGGACAGTATCCACACAATGTATTTTATAGAGCATGACCACTCCATTTGTGTACACCCTTCACAAGTGGGTAGAATTTTCGCTATTATTATGTTTTTGACAACGGGACAAATTTCAAGTGCAGGCGGTGAAATAATTAACATCATCCACCTTACGGATGTTGGCTACTGTATTAATTACCCACCATGCCTCTGGCATTATGCTACATAAGACAAGAAGCTTAGACCATTGTTGAGGGTCAGGGAGATGAGGCCAAGAGATATTTGTATAAACCGTGTAAGTTTCTCACTGAAGCGAGATCTGAGCAAGGGACGGAATGAATCTGAGCTCCACCTCTGACCCTATACCATAGAGAGGGGATACAGATATAGCAGATTTGAAGTAGGGTGACGAGAAAGAGGGTCTCTTGATTCTATCCTCCTCTGGCCAGAGACAGAGAAAATATACATCTATCACCATTTACAAGGGATAGTCCTCATGATATGCAAATTCCTGTGCTTAGTATTTCATTTGCATTTGGGGGGGGGGGGAAATGTATGTGTTAGAGATTTTGTGGGGGTGAAATAATGCCTTTGGGGGGTGTTTTCTGAAGTTGCCATATTCAGGATTGGGGGCTCCCACCTCAGTGTCCATGGAAGTTAAATCTCTGGGGGCTGGTGATTGTGGGGGGAGGGAGGCATATTCACTCTAACATGTAGGCATGAAAACTTTTACTAAATTTGCCTGCAGTCATCAATTTTTTCACATAGCCTTTTCAATAAACGGAACTTTGAAACATACAGTTTAACTTATTTCCCCTTGCCTAGTAGCATTTAATGAGACCTAAATCAGAGTCACTTTTGCATGTTGCAATTCGGACACACAACAGCTCCCCCATCTAGTGGTTCAATGCTGTATGTTCACCCCTCTTAAAAAAAAGTATTCCCCTTATAATAAGTCTGCTTACCTTTCCCGGTTGGCAGCTTAAACAAAGCTTCAACAATGCTCTAAGCCAGGCATCCCCAAACTCGGCCCTCCAGATGTTTTGGGACTACAACTCCCTTCATCCCTAGCTAACAGGACCAGTGGTCTGGGATGATGGGAATTGTAGTCCCTACACATATGGAAGGCCGAGTTTGGGGATGCCTGGTCTTAGCTTTCCTTTCTGGCCATTAATAGAGCCAGAAAGAAAGCAATCACCTGTCTTCACCTTTGACAAGGAAGCCTTGTCTCGCGGTGACGGGGTACACCTTCATGATGTCGGCAATGATACCCTGTTGAATGACACTTCAGAGTGCATCAGGGACTGGTTGCAGGTGTGAGGGTGTTGGCGGCAAGCCATTTGGGCTCGAGTGGCGGTTAGCCTTTGTTTGTATGGAGGGGAGGTTGTAGCCTCCGCCTGTCCCTCCTCAGTAAGGGTATCCTGTTAAAGGGATCCGGGGTTGTGAATTCTGTCCAATGCCGGGACGTGGGCTAGGGCCATGTCACAACCCCTACGGGGACCCCTCGGGGTGTCCCTAGTTGATGTAAGTCATAGGGCACCCCCTAATGATGGTTTACCCTTAGATGGACTCCCAGCAGACAGGCAGGAGTCAAGATATAGCCTGGTTTCGCCAATGCCTAAGCCAAACAGCTCATATCTGTAACCAATAAAGTTGTGGCTTATTGGAACCCATAAACCAAAACACTTATGTCCGTGTGTTTATTGTCCATTAGGTGGACAATAATGGGGGCCTTTCCTCTGGTCCATGGGGTCACAAAGAGTCGGACAGGACTGAACGACTAAACAAAAACAATATGGGGGCCTTGGCAAGCAACAACATGTTTTGCATTCTACTTATGCTTCCCAAGCATAAAGGCTATTTTTCTAGAAAAAGAGGTGCCAGAACTCATCACAAACACCTCTCTTCTTCACTTTAAATGGCAATGGTGCCCTCATGAGAGATGCCAGGACCGAGTTCCAGGGAGTTCTGGCTGAAAAAAGCCCTACAAGCAAGTAATGTTCTCTGAAATGTTCCTTTACCCAACATTAGGGTCGCCATAAGTCTAGAATTTCCCGGACACAGCTGGGATTTGGCCAGTGTCTGAGTGGAATTTCCTGAAATGTCCAGGAAAATCTGGACACATGACAACCCATGTCAGAAATGTTGATTTAGGTGAAATTCCTTAAAAAACAGTTCAAAATCTTAATTTGTAAAAAATGCCAAAATTTTTTTTTCTGGATATGGCAGTCCTACCCAAGATTTCTTTATATATAATGTGCTTAAAGTTTGCAGTGTTAATTCTGTATAGATTTTTACTCCCACCTTCCATAAACTGAAATAGATCCACTGTTGCTGTCAACTTTCAATAACTGTTACGCTCTTATGCAACAACAATCAAACCCAATAACTTACAGTTTCCTTTATTTAGCCTCCAGTCTTCTCTCTTGCTCCTCTCTGTCTGCCTGCAGCTCCAGATGACACCCTGTCAATGCTTTGCCTGGCCTTTTATTCTATGGGGGACACCGCTTCTGGCCTATGGCACACTGCCAGCTTGCAGAATCCCAGTCTATTTGACTTTTCCCCAAGGTCCACATGGAATTCTCAGGACACCAATCAGATTAGTCCCTGACGGTGCTAGTAGAAACCAGTGGAGGCTGGTCCTTTAGGATCAAAGGAACACTGCCCCAACAAATGCAACCTGACCCCAGTCAGCCATCACCTGCCTCCTTTCTTATGCCAGCCCAGGGAGTTTCCCTGGTTGTCAACTTCCTTCTCAGATTCAGGGTTGGCCTTACAGAATTCAGGGCAGGGAGTGAGTGCTTGGGAAATGGGACAAAACTAGAAGTAGTTGGTTCTACTGTCTTTGGCTCCATTTCCACAAACTGTTTCGCCTAAGTTTTACAAATAGCCTTATTTTTAAGTATGAGCTGTAGGTAAACAAAAAAAAATCTCTTTAAAAAGGTTAGTGTTTTGTTTAGGGAGACACCTTTCATCAAGTAGTGTAATGATCTCAGACAGGCAATCAAGCAAGCCCCAATAAGAATTAATGAGTCCCTGTCAGTTTTATGACATGTTTATTTACAATTAACACCCAGAGAGCGACTCCAAACCTGTCTCTCTTAGCTACGAGTTGCACCAAGAAGGGTGCCAAATTCCAGAACTTCCTCTCTTATATATATCCATTGCATTTTAACACTTTCATCTCTTCTGGTTCGGGGAGAAGGTGGGTGAACTCCCCCCCCCCTATCAAAGAGCCTTCTAAATGCTGCCTCCCTCCTGGTTGCATAGCAACCCCCTCAATGCCATCCATCTCCTCCCCTCACTTCTCCTGCGAGCTTTCCGAGTCTGCTGCTCTATCTGAGTCTGGGAACTCTTGATTAAGGGGGGATGAACAAACCCACTCCTGCTCTGTCTGTGGCTGCAGTCCCTCCTCTCCAGAGTCAGACTCTGGCTCCCTCTGTACTGGCAATCCTTCATCTCCAGAGTCAGACTATTCCCGGTGTTCTATTCAGCCGAATCCCTGACATTATTTCGGTGAGTGAAAAAAGCACATAACTGGCAGTGCTGCGAGAAAAACAAATAGAAGTAGACCATAAAGCCACACACAGTTTCATGGATTTCTAATGTTGCTATTTTATTGACATAATTTCAGTTTTAAAAGAAACAGAGTGATACAGAGAAAAAAGCTGGGAAAGAATAAAGCTGTATATAAGAAATATATATTCCATGTCTGCTTATCTGAGTCACAAGGTGGAAGAGTTAGGAAAGAGGCCGGGTTCTAATAAGCTACCAGCTACAAATAACTGCGTAATCCCACAGCAGCAAGAATCATGAGAAAAGGAATGAGATCATACTTTTATATTATGAAAAGTGAGTTAGAAGATGAGCAGTGGGACACAGTGGAGGCCCAAAGTGATCAGAGTGGCCTTTTCACCCTCAAGAAGGAAGGAATCCTGGTGGCAATCCAATGGTGACTTGTGAGCAGGTAAAACAGATATTTGCTTAAGTAAAAGGACTTCTTCAACTCATCCTTCTTGGAATCCTCCTGCCTTTGACCAGACCTGCCCTGGAAGATTGGGGGACTACCGTGAGAGGTTTCTTGAGAGGGATGGAGTGCAGGAGGGGGAAAGTGTAGGGGGTGCTGAGTATCAGAGAGGATGGTAGCGGATTATTTCTTGCCTGAGCAGAAGTCTGCTTGTGCAACAATGGCATTCAATATCTTAATTCAATTGGGTATCCATTCTCACATCTAAGCGAAATTCTCCTACTATAGTCTATATCGTGGTAGATGAATTTAAATCTTACAAATCTTTAAATCTGACTGGAAAATCAGATGAGTTCAACATGCAACCAGTGTATGGGTGGCCAGAAAAAGTGCAGATGTTTTTAAGATCATGGTCTGAGACATGAACGAAAGTGCGTTCGGCGTTGGGAACCAGGCCTCTTTTCCTGAGTAAATAGTTGCAGTAATCTTTGACTTCAGTCTTCGGGTAATCGACATACTCGTGTTTGAAGGATTGGAAATCCCAGGAGGCTTCACTCCCCAGCACCATCCAGGAGAGCAAAACCAAGAGCAGCCATAAAGTAGATGGGGCAGTGTCTGACTGCATTAATAGACAGCCTCATAACTTCCTAATGAGGGAATTAGGATTACAATTTTAGCAAGGCTGTCATAGCCCTTGTCAGATTTTCCCTTGGTATTTCCTAGGAAGTGGGTTATATAATCTGATAGAAAAAGGGAAAGCATGAAAATGTTCTGTTGAACTTTACTTCGTTTCCTGTTTTTTCTGCGCAGAACAACCACCAAGAGCCACAGAGAGCCAAGGCTGCCAAGGGGCCTTGTCCTTTATGGCTAAATTTAATGAAAATGAGGAGGGATACCCAAATTTGCTGAGCTTTTTTTAGGGGGAATTGCACATGTGCCATCACCCCAGCAGGGCCATTGCTGGGGGTTGGCAAAGTGGGCAGCCGCTCCCCCCATGCCACTGCAGAAAATGCTCTCTAGAGTGTGCGCCTCCCACAGCAACATGGTGGGGAGTTGTGCGCCTGCCAACCAGCTGGCTGGCGGCATGCAACTCCCCCCCCACACATATCCATGAATAGGATGATCACAGTTTTTTGACATTTTTGAGTAAAAAATCCTTGTCTAATACACTGAAATATAAAGTTTACTTATTCCGAGTTTCAGCCTTTGGAGATGTCTGGAGAGCTACAGCTTCTTCCCTGTGCTTCATCTAGACCTTGAGGGTAGGAGGTGACATTTGTTCAGTTGTGTGTCCGTCTATGTGTGTTTGTGCATATGTTGCCCATATCAAAGATTGGGATCAAGATGAATGCTGAAAAAGCTATGGCATTCTAGTAACATCCCTCCATAAAAGTAAAGAGCCAGTTTTTCAGGTAACAAGTGGAGTTGGTGCAGGCTGATCGCTGCAACGACAAGAGAATGTCATTTCCTTATTTGGGAGATCCAATCTTTAGCCTTTCCCAGAAACATTAAGAACATAAAATAAGCCCCACTGGATCAGCCTAAAGGGCCAACTAGTCCAAAATCCTGTTCTTTCTGCTCAGTGAGTTCCTGTGTCTTCCTTTATCTCTGCTCAGGTGCATTTCTCCCCAGAGCCATATAATTTCACAAGAGGCCAACTGAGACTGGCCCAGCAGTCTATGCCAGGTATAGGCAAGCTCCAGCCCTCCAGATGTTTGGGACTACAATTCCCATACTCCCTGACCACTGGTCCTGTTAGCTAGGGATGATAGGAGTTGTAGTCCCAAACAACTGGAGGGCCGGAGTTTGCCTATGCCTGGTCTACGCCATTGCTTAATGATCCAGCTTGAAGAGGAGAAATGTGTGTCTGTTGCTGAAGAGGCATCATGGAGTAATGTTTCCTGAAAAAGGCACCCACATAATTGATTCAGGAGACTACAAGGGGATGCTGAAGGCTTTATACCTCATAGTTGGTGGAAGGCATGGATGTGCTGAACAGATCGTGGCCAGCAGGTCTCCTCTACTCTTTCCTTCCAACTCCTTTTCTGGTTTGAGTGCGGAAAAAGGAGCGACCAGAGAAAGCAGCAATCAAACCTGTTGCTCCCTATTGGCCCAAGAGATCATTGTTTTCTGAGATAGTATAGCTAGTCGTAGCCGCATCATGGACTCATTCATGAAATGCCGCCTGTGGGGATTCCAGTCACGGCAGAGAAGGTCAACATGGGGCAGGGAACCAATTGCACATTGCTTTGGGGTGGGTCTAACCACTCTTTGAGCATAGGTTAGAATTCTCTCTATATAAGGTGTCTCTTCCTGAAGGATGCTCAGAGGCGCATACGAGCAAAAGAAGATATTTTGATCCACTCTTTGGGAGACCAATTTCTATTACACTAGGTAGGAAAAAGGTTTGGACATGCTCATCTACAAAGCTATTTTTCATTGTTTTGTTCAAGAGCAGGAAAGGTGGCCTAGAAGCCACACTGTAGGTGGGTTTTTAATCAGCCAGCTTTTGAATAGCTAAATTTTGTCTGTCATTTCTTTTTTTCCATATCTGATTTCAATTCCCCCCCGTCTTTGATAGAATAAACCTTTTCCACTTTTAACAACACTTTTCTCCTTGTGTGCCCCCCCCCCCGGAATTTTATTTCTGTATGCAGATATTCATTTTTGTGAATAAATATTTAACCTTTGTGTGACTCCTTCTCCTAAGTTCTAGTCATGGCAGCCATATTCTTTACCTGCATTTCACTGGCAGCCAATCATCTTTGAGCACAAGCTCTCTGACAATAGATGTGGAGGCTGAGCTGTGGATTGGTTGCATCAATTCAGAGTACAGAAGGCTGATGAGATGACTGTATGTAACAGCCATGCTGAAATTTAGGTTACAATGCTTTCTCTGGAATTTAAATATTGCTATATACAGGATTTGTTTAATTTTTGGAGGAAGATTAAGTCGTGTAAGCACCCCCCCCCCTGCACCAGGGAAGCCCAGTATGCTTATATACAAATGTACATTTTGAGAAGGTATGAACAACAGAAATTAGGAAGTAAAGCTCTACGTACAGGGAAATGAAGCTTCATTGGAAAAAGCTACATTCCTAAATTTAGGAAAATTTTACAGTCGTGAAAGGTGCCCATTTCAAAGGTCTTTATTGTAATGGATTTAGGGGTTGCTCGTGCGTAAGTTGCCGCCACTCCTGGCTAGGTTACCTGGTTAAACCCTTTCTGACTGAACAGCCTCTAGCATCGTGACTGTCTCAGTCGCTGTTAGAATCCGTCAGTGGGCGTTTCTTGAACCTCTTCCAGCATAGAAGTTCTTTGACGCCAAGTCTCCTCTTACTCTCCCTGTGCGGAAGCCTTCTGCGCAGGTAGGGTGTGGGCAGCGGAGTACCCGTACTCTCTCCGCTGGTCTCCGGCGAGGAGTCTTGGAGCCCCCTCTCCGATTCCCCCATCTGCCCCCCTTCTCTACTGGTGTTACGCTGATTTCCTTCCCCAGCAGATGGGCTGCCTCTCTCCCTACTGGGACCCTCTTCGGCATCCCTCTGGAGTCTTCTCTCTGCCTCTAGCTCCGATGGCAGTTCCCTGACACCCACCTCTCCCCCAGGACCCCCTCCATCCCCGGCCCGACCTTCTGATCCAACCTCCTCCCTTTCCTCGGCCGACGATGCGGGGAATCCCCTGAAGGAGCTGTCGCCATCCTCTGAGGATTCAAAACCCGCTTCCCACCTGCTCCGAACTCTTCCCGCGGGTTGGGCCTCCCAGTCTGATTCTTCTCCCTCAGACACCTCCCCTCCCTCCTCTTCGGAGGCAGGAAAACCCACAAAGTCCTCTTCATCATCTGTGGTTCCAAATTCTTCCTCCCAGAATCTCGCTAGTGGTTTCGGTTTATCTGGGAACAGGCTGTGGAATTCTTCCACTAGATACCCGTCATTGATCGCCTTAGCGGGGACCCACGTGTTTTCTGACCCGGGTTCTCCCTCCCAAGCTACCAAGTACTCCACCTGGCGCCCTCGCCACTTTGAATCGAGTATTTCCGTGGCTTGGTTGTGGTGTTCCCTCTCCTCTACCCGCGGGTGGGTGGTGACTCCTCCCTCCTGCCCCGGAAATTCCCGCCCCTCCCTGTACGGTGAGAGTAGGGACCTATGGAACACCGGATGTATCTTCATGCTGTCAGGCAACTTGAGCTTGAATGCCACAGGATTCACCTGCTGTGTTACCTCAAAAGGTCCCAGCCGCCTTGGCTGCAACTTCTTGCACCCTCCCTTTAGGGGTAACCCTTGGGTTGACAACCACACTCGGTCTCCCACCCTTATGGCCTTCCCCTCCGGACGGTGCTTGTCTGCCTGCCTCTTGTAAACTTCCTTGGCCCGCTCCAAGTTCATCTTGAGTTGCTGGTGCAAGGCCTCCATTTCTTCCACAAACTGCTCTGCCGCAGGTACACTCCATCCTTCCTCCCCCCTCCCCGGGAAGGCCCTGGGGTGACACCCATAATAGGCCATGAACGGGCTCATTCCCGTGGACACATGTTCAGCGTTATTGTACGCAAATTCAGCCAGCGCTAGTTTCTCTACCCAATCGTTCTGTCTCTCGCTGACATAGCAGCGTAGGTATTGCTGTAGTATACTGTTCGCTCTTTCTGCTTGCCCGTTGGTGTCGCGCCATCGAGAAACCCACCTCGAACTGCAGCAAGCTCATGAGCTTCCTCCAGAACCGGGAAGTAAATTGTTTCCTGTGATCTGAGATGACCCTCGAGGGAGCCCCATGCAGCCTGAAGATGTGATCCACAAACAACCTGGCTGTCTCCTCTGCCGTCTCCACATGTGAGCAAGCTATGAAATGGCACATCTTCATCAGTAGATCGACTACTACCATGACTGCTGTCTTCCCCCTTGACTTGGGCAAATCTGTCATAAAATCAATGGACACCACCTCCCAGGGTCTTCCCGGCATGGGTAACGGGTGCAGCCCTCTCCCCCTTTGCCCTTTGGCAGCGGTCGGACCCCCGTACATATTCCCGTACATCTTCCCTCACCCTTGGCCACCAGAACTGCCTGGTGATGAGCAGCATGGTTTTGTGCTGTCCAAAGTGCCCAGCTGTAGGGTTGTCGTGGAGTTGTTTGAGTACCTTCCCCCTCAAGGTCTCCCCCTGGTACATACAGCACCCCCTTATAGTACAGCACCCCTTCCTTTTCCTCGAACCCTCCATGGTTTTCCCTCCCGTCTCGGAGTTCCCTGATTTTAGTTTGAGCGAACACGTCGTTTCTAGTCAGCCCGGCCAGTTCTCATTTCCCAACCAAGGCTCCCCCCCACACCTATTGGTCCTCGGGGATAACGTGTCGGATCTCCGGCGGTCCCTCTCCTTCCATGTACTAGGGTTTCCCGGAGAGAGCATCTGCTCTTATGTTTTCCTCTCCCGGCACGTATCGGATCTCGAAGGAAAACTTGGAGAACTCCTGTGCCCATTGAATCTGTCTCTGGTTGAGTTCTCGCGCGGTCCTCCAGTATTCCAAGTTCTTGTGATCAGTACAAACCTGGATCTTGTGCTGCGCCCCTATTAACAGATGTCTCCATCGGCGAAACGCCGCATAGATCGCCAGCAGTTCGCGGTCATACACCGTATAGTTTTGCTCCGACTTGCTCAGCTTCCTCGAGAAAAAGGCACACGGCTTCCAGTCCTGCTTGCCCCCCCGGCTGCAAAAATACCGCCCCAATGGCTCGGTCGGACGCGTCGGTCTCTAGCCTCATGGGCTTCTCCAGATTAACGTGCAGGAGCTGCTCTTCCAAAGCGAACACCTTCTTCAGTCTTTCAAAGGATTGCTGGGCACTTTCTGTCCAGGTGAACTTTCTTTTGCTACTGAGACAATCTGTGATGGGCGCTGTCAAGTGGGCGAAGTTCTTGATGAACTTCCTGTAGAAGTTGCTGAACCCTAGGAACCTCTGCACATCCTTCCGGGTTTTGGGGGCTTTCCATTCCAGCACTGCCTGCACCTTGCTTGGGTCCATAGCTAGTCCCTTGTCTGACAACTTGTACCCCAGAAACTCGACCTCTCTGGTGTGAAATTGGCATTTTTCCAGCTTGACCCACAACTGGTGCTTCTGCAGCCTCTTTAGCACTTCCCTGACGTCTCTGACATGTTGCTTCTCATTGTCTGAATAGATTAAGACGTCGTCCAAGAAGGCTACGCAGTTCTTGTACAGCAGGGGCCCCAACACGTGGTGCATGAATGCTTGAAAGCAGGCGGAGCCCGATTGTAATCCAAATGGCATGACTAAGTACTCAAAAGCCCCCAGGGGGGTGAACATGGTAGTTTTCCATTCGTCCCCCTCCCTTACCCTGATCAAATTGTACGCTCCCCTGAGGTCCAGCTTGGTAAAAATTTTCCCCTGCCTCACCCGTGTTAAAATGTCGTCAATCCTGGGCATTGGGAAGGTCACGGGTTCTGATACCAGGTTTAACGCCCGGTAATCTACGACTAATCTGGGCTAGTTAGTCCCTTTTTTGTCCACAAAGAACACCGGACTGCCCCCCACCGCCTTTGATTCCCTTATGAACCCCCTCTTCAGGTTCTTGTCAATAAACTGCCGTAACTCCTGCATCTCCCGGTCCGACATGGCATACAGCTTACCCACCGGCAGCTGAGCCCCTGGGAGTAAGTTGATTTGGCAGTCAAAGGGCCTATGGGGGGGTAGTCTATCCGCCTCCTTCTCGCTGAAGACTTCCTTTAGGTCAGCGTATGGTGGTGGCACCTCTCCCTTTGTTTCCACCGCCAGCCCAGCCACCCTGGCCACTGTCATTCTTGGGGTTCCCCCCCCCCAGACAGTGT